CCTATGATGCTGCTTGGCCTGCTGTGTTCATCCAGCCCTGCACCTTGTTGTCTCGGATTCTCCAGCATCTGCAGTTCCTACTATCTCTGCTGCAAGGAATGTTGTGTTTCTCTAACGCCTTCGGATTTTGTCTCAGATTTCCAGAATCTGCAGTTCTTTGTTTTATCAAATTGGCACCAGTACTTGGTCCATTGCTGTGAGCGAATTGAGAATCAAGGTTATATGAATTACTCCTCAATTTTTTTATTTATTCACAGGATGTGGGTGTCACTGGTGAGGCGAGCAATTACAACTCATGTCCAATCACCCAGAGGGCAGTCGAGAGGAAACCACTTTGGAGTGGCATGCTAGCTAAACCAGGTCACGTTTCCTTTCCCTAAGAAACAATAGTGAGATAACAAGGTGCAGGGCTGGATGAACACAGCAGGCCAAGCAGCATCAGAGGAGCAGGAAGGCAGACATTTCGGGCCTAGACCCTTCTTCAGAAATGGGGGAGGGGAAGGGGGTTCTGAACTAAGTAGGGAGAGAGGGGGAGGGGAAGGGGGTTCTGAAATAAATAGGGAGAGAACCAGATTGTTTTTCAACAATAGTACAATTAGATGAGCTTCTCATTCCAGATTTTTTCTTAAATTGAATGTCAAGTTCATCATTTGCTGTGGTAGATTTTGAATGCAGAACACTGGCCTTACGGCTCTAAGTTACTTGCCCAGTGACATTACCACTCTGCCACTGTCTTCCCCAACCACTTGGGAATGGAAAGGACTAAAGCGAGGGTTTTTAACTGATCTCAATCTAATTATTTTGGCTGAAATTATGGATGAGCAGACACTGGGTGAGGAAAGCTGTGATATAACAATAGTCAAATAGCCAGACCAGGAATTTCCTCCTGATCCATTGGCCTTGTGCAGAGGAAATCTTATTTCAAAACAAACTGCTACTGGGAATACAATGGCTGATGTGGGGAATCAATGAGGGAAACTGGGAACATTCAGAAATAAAAGGGAATATATCCATTCTGAGAATGATGAGGAAAGTTATCGTCCATTAATTTTAAATTCTTTCCATTGTGTTACTTCAGGTCAATGCATACATGAAGCAGTAATAACAATGAACTAGAAAGGTTCTTTCCTCTATCAACATTTCTCACTCCACTTAGTATAGGTTTGCTGCAAGCCAGTCAAAAACACCAAAGGTGGATACATTAGAATGATGTAAAGTGGCTACACTTTATAACTACACCTTGGGATAACTACACACCTTGGGAAAACAAAGAAGTCTAATTTGAAGTGCTGTCAGAAAACTGAATGTAAATTAAAACTTTAATTTCCAAGTATTCACGTTTTAAAATACTTGAAAGTTAATCCCTGAGCCTTTGGGAGAGATTGGCCAATCTACTTACCATTCAGCCACCTGGAATCATGTTGTTCTGTCCTTATTGGGTGATGATGTCCCAAAGTGCGGAAAATTGCAAAATCCCTGCCCATGAAATCTGCTGCAGTGCCAGAATATAGCTCTCCATCTGTGGATTAAGGAGTACAAATTTGTCACTGTCACAATGGCAATATTTCGAAAACACATTACAAATCGAATCACAAGCTTTGAAACTCTCCTCTCTTCTTAATCCTTTTGGTCTCAACAGATTGTTACACAAAGTGCCTTGGTCCTTTCATCCAAGATTCTGTCACTCGAATCCTTTTCACCAATCACCAGCCTTCTTGCTGATCGACACTAGTGTTCAATCCAGCAATGCTTTGAGTTTAAAAATTGCTCCATGGCTTAGTATTTGCTGATTATTGTAATCTCTTTTAACCATACAACTCGAGATCTTAGCATTCACTCAATTCTGGCCTCTCACACATTTCTGACTTTGTTGGAGGTGGTAACTTTACCTGTCTGAGCCCTAAATTTCTTTATTCTCTCCATAAACTTCCCCAACTCCTCCTCCTCCTAAAAGCTGTTCCTTAAAACCTTTGGGAAAATACATGATAAAAGCAGTATAATGTGGCTAAGCATGAAGTTGAACACCAGCAGGAGAAACAGAATAACAGAATATTATTTCAGTGGTGATAAACTGGAAAAGGTTGATGCACAAAGGAACCTGGGTGTCCGTGTACACTGGTCATTGACAACAAGCATGGAAGTGCAGCAAGCAGTTAGGAAGGCAAACAATAATTTGCAAGAACAGAAATTGCTGGAAAATGCAGTAGGTCTGGCAGCATCTAAAAGCAGAGTTAACATTTCAGGTCCAGCAAACCTTCTTCAGAATGGCTTAGTACCTGCCTACAAAATGATAAATTGGTCTTAATTAGATGATCAGAAGTCACACAACACTAGGTTATAATCCTTGCCTTTTTTGGTTAATGCATTGAGTATAAGAGTTGGGACATCGTATTGCAGTTGTCCAGGATATTGGTTAGGTCACTTTTGGAATATTGCATTCAGTTCTGGTCTCCCTGCTATATGAAAGATGTTGTTAAACTTGTGAGGGTTCAGAAAAGATTTACGAGGATGTTGCCAGGTTCAGAGGGTTTGACCTATAGGGAGAAGCTGAATAGGCTGAGGCTATTTTCCCTGGAACGTCGGAGGCTGAACGGTGACCTTATAGAGGTTTATAAAATCATGTGGGGCATAGATAGGGTGAATAGCCAACATCGTGTTCCCAGAGTAGGCGAGTCCAAAAGTAGAGGGCATAGGTTTAAGGTGAGAGGGGAAAGATTTAAAAGGGACCTAAGAGACAACTTTTTCATGCTGAGAGTGGTGCATGTATGAAATAAACTGCCAGAAGACGTGGTGTAGGCTAGTACAATTACAACATTTAATAGGCATCTGGATGGGTATATGAATAGGAGGGGTTTAGAGGGATATGGGCCAAATGCTGGCAAATGGGACTAGATTAATTTAGGATATCTAGTTGGCATGGACGAGTTGGACCAAAGGGTCTGTTTCTGTGCTGTATGACTTTGTGATTACGAATATTTTCTACATTTCCATATCTTGTTGATCAATCATTTGATCACCTGGCCTAATATCCCCAAATGTGGCTCAGGGTCAGATTCAGTTTCTGTGAAGCACCTTGAACATTTCATTGCATTTAACACAACATAAATACAAGTTATTGTTGTTTCTCAATATTTTAAACATTTTCTACATCAAATATTTCAAATTAGCTGGATGCCATACATCAAATTTCAAAGTGATATCTACTCCTAGCAAATAATAAAACCCTAGCAGCATAATAAAATGGCTTCTCATAAATTTGACAACAGTGAGAAATCGGTACAGAGTAACATAGGGGTCGATTATTTTGGAAGGAATTGAGTCACCTTGAGGTTCAGGTGCTCGTATGGTTAATGATGGCAACCAAACTCAGAACAACAGTCTCCAGGAAAAAATGTTCTATCTTTTCTTTACATTTAGAAGTGAAGTTATAATGTACGATGCAGTAATTTCCAAAGGCTGATATTTCAGCTCGAAAATTTATCCTCCTTCTATGTAAACGGTATAACGAGAGGCTTTATATCAAACTGAAATGTTTGCTTTTCTGGTCACTCTCTTTGGTAACTGACAATCAATGCCAATATCCCTGATACATGTGACACAATCTGTCTGTTCTTTCTTGGCTCGAGTGATGGGAGAATGTTGCACTCCAGGGACAAGCTGATTCTCTTGTTTGTTTTAGCCTTATTAAAAGCACGTTTCCTGCTGACAGTGCCTCAGAGGAGTGCTGTGCCTATGCTTCATTTACACTCCCCTACAGGAGAAGCATGTGTGGATGTAACTGACTGAGTAATGGAAGCAGAAGGAGGAAAAATTGAGGCAGTGTAACAGCACACTGTTCATCCACAGCTTCGATTAAGCGTGTAAACCTGGTGAATAGGGTATGCCCTCTTTAAACTTTCCAAGACAGCATTAAATCTCATTCACTTAACTCAAAAACTCACCAGGGCTCCTGCAGCCGTGCCTTCCAAACCCATGACCTCTACCACCTTGAAAGACAAGGACAGCAGATACATGGGATTGCCAACACCATCAAGTTTCCCTCCAGACTGGGGCAATTGGAGATCCCCTCCCCAACTGGTTAGGCAGGTCACTCTGCTCTCCCAGTCAGGAAACTATCCCATTTGCTAGGAAGGCAGCTATAGAGGGGTCCCCAATTTATGAATGTCTGACTTCTAAATGCTTAATTTTACGAATGCAATCTCATGCAGAATGTAATTTTAAAGACCTGGCATATGAGCATTTCCAAATCATCCTGCATTGTGTACCAACTTGCATACAAATTAGCTTGCGAATAGACACCAGAACAGAACCTGGTCATAACCTGAGGAGTGCCTGTAGTCAGGGAGGTGGGGAATTGTGGTTCTAAGCTGGCCATTAATTACTCACTATAGGGCTTTCATTGTTGGCAGATCGGGAAAGCTCCCCTGGGACCTTTTCATACAGGTGCGGTACATAGCTCAGTGGTAAGCACTGATACCTCACAGCGGCTCAGTCGTTAGCACAGACACCTCACAGCTGCTCAGTGGTTAGCACTGACACCTCACGGTGCCTCAGTGGTTAGCACTGATACCTCACGGCGGCTCAGTGGTTAGCACTGA